ACTGAATTATGTATCTGAATTAGACAGTGTGGTAAAAAACTAACACCTTAAAAATGATATTTCATTTTTTGACAAATGCTTATTTATAACAACAGAGACGTTTATTTTCATAACTTATTATTATATTGATTTCTGATTCAAATCCACATTTATTTAGAATAATTTATTAACGAACGCAATTAAGTATGTAATTAATTAGTATTTGGGCGGAAATACTGGTCGTATATTTAATTAATGGTATACTGTTTTATAAAGATTAAAATAGTTTTCTTTTGCATACAAATGGGCTAGTAATATTATCGTTTTACTAAAAACGATAATATTACTAACCTGTACATTTTGTACATTTGTTGTTTTAAAAACAATCTAAAATGTCAATATTCCATGGGTATACTGATAAATGAGGTCTAAATTATAAGAAAATGCATTTTCTACAAAAACTAGAAGGGATAGGTAAAAAGTGGTATAATACAATTTGATAGACAATTAAATCGTGCATCTGATTTTCATAAAATATACAGGGTGTTCAATTTAAATTAAACAAGTTATTGCCGTTTAAAGCTAGTAATTATTTAAAATAAATTTTTAGACACTCTGTATACGGTAGTATAATTTTTATTACTGCAACACAATAACTGATCAATAAATAAACTTCAGTAAATATTTACTATTAAAAACTTTGATACCCTCGGAGAAATGAAGCCTTAAAATTTATACTGCAATTTCACAAAATTGAAAATATTTCAAAAACGGTAATGTTTAAGTGTAATAAACCTTAATCAAATTTATGTTTATTTTAATCGTAGAAACTAAAAATGCAATAATATACAGGGTGTTTCATTTATAAAAATACAACTTTGATATTTTTTATTTATTTGGGACCCTCTGTATCTTGTAAGAATATTTTTAAATTGTAGCTCTAATAGTCCTTCAACGAACCCAAAACTTACAATTTGTAAAAATCTAATCGTTTAGCTACAATACTCCGTGTCGTATGTGGTGAACAACCCTGTATAAGTAGTGGCTATTGGATAAAATATTTTTTCTCAAATGTTAAACTATACACATTTGAAAATAATTTTTAGTCAATATAAAATAAATTTCAACCTTTTTAAGATTTAAAAAATAAAGACAAGTACGGAGTAAGTAAATGACGTTAACAGGGCAGTTGATACCAAAAAATCATCAGGACGGTATAAAAAAATTGTTGACCTAGTTCGGTAAAAAATTACCGGATTTATTGCTGTAAAATCTTATTTTTCGGACTGAAATCAAATATAATAATAATAATTTTAATATCCAGTCCTTTATTTTATTTAAACTGTTTGTTATACGTCAAAAACTTACCTGTGCAACTTTGTCGAGTATGTTATACCACAATATAGATTTTATAAAATATTTTTCCGCACGTTTTACTGCAGTTTCTTTATTTTAAATTTCTATATTTCGCGATTTAGCGTCGCAAGTGCGTCCCGACGCCCAAAGCGACGCTATGTCTCTTGTTTCACAGCTTTGTCTATTTCCGCTTGATTTATAACTGCACTTTAGTTTGAGATTCTCGCACTATTTTTCAACTTAAACAGATTTAGGTTCGTCTTTGGCGCTTTTTTTGATTCTTGAACCGTTTTAAGACTCAAAATTTCGAGAGAATTCAGTAAAAGCAAAATAAAAGTAAAAAAAAAACGAATTTAGGGTACAGTAGAGTGTTTTTTCAAAATGTTTGCTCTAAATAAAGATGAAGCTTATTAAAACAAAAATAGCTATATGGATAGTTAGTAAGGGTCTGAATTAATTGAAACTATGCTTGTCGCATGTAAAATTTTATATTCTTTTGGGATATGTCTTACTTTGATCGGTAATGTTAATAGTTTTAGTGGAGAACCCGGGAGAGACAGCAGTAGTTCGGCTTATTTTGTCTTAAAGCTGAAAAAACAGGACCAGTGTTTGTACCGTTGAAAAAAATATTAAAAAAATTCTAAATGAAACAAAACTATACTTGTCGTATGCAGAATTTTATATTCTACCAGAATATGTCTTAGTTTGAGCTGAAATGTTAATAGTGTTGAGGGAGAGCCCGGGAGAGACAGCGGTAGTTCCGCTTATTTTGTCTTAAAGCTGAAAAAACAGGATCAGTGTTTGTACCGTTGAAAAAAATATTAAAAAAATTCTAAAGGAAACACAACTATATTTGTCGTATGCAGAATTTTATATTCTACCAGAATATGTCTTAGTTTGAGCTGAAATGTTAATAGTGTTGAGGGAGAGCCCGGGAGAGACAGCGGTAGTTCCGCTTATTTTGTCTTAAAGCTGAAAAAACAGGATCAGTGTTTGTACCGTTGAAAAAAATATTAATAAAATTCTAAAGGAAACAAAACTATACTTGTCGTATGCAGAATTTTATATTCTACCAGAATATGTCTTAGTTTGAGCTGAAATGTTAATAGTGTTGAGGGAGAGCCCGGGAGAGACAGCGGTAGTTCCGCTTATTTTGTCTTAAAGCTGAAAAAACAGGACCAGTGTTTGTACCGTTGAAAAAAATATTAAAAAAATTCTAAAGGAAACAAAACTATACTTGTCGTATGCAGAATTTTATATTCTACCAGAATATGTCTTAGTTTGTGCTAAAATGTTAATAGCGTTGAGGGAGAGCCCGGGAGAGACAGCGGTAGTTCGGCTTATTTTGTCTTAAAGCTGAAAAAACAGGACCAGTGTTTGTACCGTTGAAAAAAATATTAAAAAAATTCTAAAGGAAACAAAACTATACTTGTCGTATGCAGAATTTTATATTCTATCAGAATATATCTTAGTTTAAGCTAAAATTTTAATAGTGTTGAGGGAAAACCCGGGAGAGACAGCGGTAGTTTTGCTTATTTTGTCTTAAAGCTGAAAAAACAGGACCAGTGTTTGTACCGTTGAAAAAAATATTAATAACATTCTAAAGGAAACAAAACTATACTTATCGTATGCAGAATTTTATATTCTACCAGAATATGTCTTAGTTTGAGCTGAAATGTTAATAGCGTTGAGGGAACGCCCGGGAGAAACAGCGGTAGTTCCGCTTATTTTGTCTTAAAGCTGAAAAAACAGGACCAGTGTTTGTATCGTTGAAAAAAATATTAATAAAATTGTAAAGGAAACAAAACTATACTTGTCGCATGCAGAATTTTATATTCTATCAGAATATATCTTAGTTTAAGCTAAAATTTTAATATTGTTGAGGGAAAACCCGGGAGAGACAGCGGTAGTTTTGCTTATTTTGTCTTAAAGCTGAAAAAACAGGACCGGTGTTTGTACCGTTGAAAAAAATATTAATAAAATTCTAAAGGAAACAAAACTATACTTGTCGTATGCAGAATTTTATATTCTACCAGAATAAGTCTTAGTTTGAGCTGAAATATTAATAGTGTTGATGGAGAGCCCGGGAAAGGCAGCGGTAGTTCCTCTTATTTTAGTTTAAAGCTGAAAAAAGAGGACCAGTGTTTGTACTTTAGGAAAATGACACCTACAGATTAACTGCACCATTGACTGTCATTCTCCAGCCGTCTTTGATTTCGTTTTTTTTATCATACGGTATTTATTGTTTAAAAAAGTAAAATCGGTAATTATTCATTTAAAAACTATCGATAAAAAAATGCCGACGGGCAAAATGACAATCATTTCAAAACAATACCGGGCGAAGTTAGGATTTTGTAGGATCGAAAAAATGTCAATCATTGGCATTGTGTCGCGGTGGCACCGGTCCTTATCGACGGGCTGTCAACTTGTCGATATCGACCCCTTTTGTTGTTGGTCGCTGTCAGATCGACCGTATCGATAACGGCGCCGACTACTGACCGACGGTACGTTGCCCAGTACCATCCTATACAGGGTGAAACAAAATATATATTCGACGAGAATAAGTTTTTAACAAATTTCAAAAACCTACATCGAAACACAATTTAAGCGATGTTAGACGGTGCGAGTGGATGGACGGGTGATCATCAGCAAGCTCTCTATACCTTCTTCCTACAAATCAATATTATAAAATTTATCATCTCGTTATTTTTGTGCATTGTGGGTTTGTTAAAGTGAAACTTCTTTACGCGTGATGGGAATAAAAATTCAAGGCCGTGACACACCACGCCCTTGACACGACATGAACTTGACCATCCCTTGTGCTAACGAAAAAAAAGTGATAAGGATCGCACCAAGAAACATTTGATTTAAAACTAAGAAAAGCATTATAATAAACTTGACCTGGGTACCGATATCCTCTGGTTGTGTGCTAGAAAGTAAATTTTCATGCATATTTTCATCGATAGATTTGTAGCTTCTGAATAACGATCTAGGTAAAACATTTAGCTTATTTGCTAGCTCAAAATTAGAATTATTAGAGTTAAGCAACTCGCGTTTTCATTGGAGGACATTATCATACTTATTTCAAACCAATAACCAACGACAATATTCGTATAATTTAACAAAATTACTGTAAACCGTTATAAATACGAATTGTTGGTTAGGTTCAAAAATTTTTCTTTTTTTAAATAAATTTAAGCGTTAAAATTATTAGGCATTTGCATAAAAGTGTGTATTTTGGGTGATATTCCACAAAATTTGCAGCCTATTGAGGGTATTAAGGTTGGTTCTCAGATTGTTGCTAAAGATAAAAAGGAAACTATAAATCAAAATGGATTTTTAAAGGTTAAATTTTAAGTTCTAATTTCCTCCGCAATTTCCTGAAATTTTCCCTAATTTCCGGTTGAATTTCACCCCTTTTTAGGATTTATTCAACACTTTTTGTCGTACTGTTTCAGGAACTATATAATATCGATGATTCATGGCATAAACTATATGTATAGGTTTGATTTTTTTTTGTTATTTTGTGCTAAAAATTATAAATAATAATTGAAAAGTATTAAAGAAAAATTATGAAGAGAAATCATATGAATTCAGATTTTTTATTTTCATCTAATTATTTTTTCCAATCAGTGGGTCTAATATTATTTTCTTTATCTTTACAGCTACAATGATGATATCTAGGACAACGCCCAGCTAGGTCCCACTTGATAGTTAAGCGACCGCAGACGAGGCACACGTTTGGATGGGTAACCGTCTGAAAATTCCATTGTGCTGTTGTTCTAAGGCAAGAATATCTCAGGAGCAAGTGTGAAAGCCAGAAACATATCTGAGGTAAAAAATGAATCATTAGACGTTTGTGATCAGAATATAACTGATACATATTATGTGTATATACCATACGATAAAAAAACAGCGTCAGAGATGGCTAAGCGAGGTATGTCATCGATCGCGGCATTTTGAAACTGCTCGCCGTTTTTTCGATCATATTATACCGTATGATCGAAAAAAAACGGCGTCCAGTTGGCTGGGAAATGACGATCAATGACATTTCCCATATAAATTTACATATAAAATGACAGCGATTTCATAGTCATCGTTGACGCCGTTTTTTCTCGATCATACGGTATCTGCATCTGTACCGTCAATTGTGCTAAATTTCTATTTGTTTAACTGGCAACAATGGTGTGTATATCTGTAATAGATTTATCCAGTGGCGTAACTATACACCAATATAAAGGGGGCCTCAACTCACTTATAAGATAATATTGATTTGAGGTTAAAATCGATTTTAAACGACCCGCGATAATCATATGTAGTGCTAAATTTGAGGTTGATGGGGATAAGCACTCTCTAGTTCTCCTTTAACTGCGCCACTGGATATCTATGAGATATCTACATATTGAATAGGCATATCTGTTTAATATACCATGGAAGTGATATTATATACTATATTAATTTTTTTTATTGATTTATTGATATTTATAATGAAAATAAATAAACATTATTTATTGTTTAACATATTTGTGTTCAAAAGAACCACTGAAAGTTTGGTCTCCGTATATTTTTAAACCAGTGATATTTTCATACTTGATTTTAAACTAGTTATTTCTTTTTATTACAGGTTTGGATCTATGAAACACATCACCCAGTAAGCTGATCAACTGAACTTTTCTACATTCCAACGACACTGCAAGATACCCATAACTACCAGGGCTTCAATACCAGCTGGCTTTTGTTTATTTTAATATAATTTCTTATAAAATATTTAGTATTTTTAGATAATATTGTATTAAACACAATTACATTTAAATAAATAAAACTTACAGACCTTTTAAATTGATTTTGATTTACCCTGTATATGACCTCTTTGCTCCTATATGTTCCTGGTAGAAATCCAAAATATTCCTCGATCTTTAGCAAAACTTGCATAAAATGATTTAATTCTCTTCAACATATTAAATTTCTATCAGGAGGATATAAAGAGCAAGGAGGTATATATGAGATCCCAATAACCAAATATGTACCTCTTCGCTCTTATGTACTCCTGATACAAATCCGAGAAAATTCAGCTTTTAAGAAAATTTGAAAGAAAATTTTTATTCCTTGTCCAAAATTATTGATTTCTATCAGGAACACATAAATGTGAAGAGGTAAAAAGTAAATTAAGTACCAATATTTACCTAGTCGCTCTTATGATACATATCCGAGAAAATTCAATTTTTGTCAAAGATTACATGAAAATTTTTAAACCGAGTCAAAAATCGCCGATTTCTATCAGGAACACATAAAAGCGAAGAGCGAGGAGCAAATTTAGTACCACACGTAAATAAAGCATTAATCAACGGTATTTTTGTTGGCTCTAGCACTTCGACCTCGTTTCCAAAATTCAACCCTTAATATTTCGGAAAGTATAAGGGTTAGAGAGGAACGGAACTCGGCATTCGATAGGCATTTCAGCCCTCTATAAGGGCGCAAAACAAGGGCGCGATCGGAGACCAAAAAATTTTTTGGCGAAAAATGAGGTAAGGGGTTAACCTTCCTTCATTTTTGCCGAAAAATTTTTTTTGTCTCCGATCGCGCCCTAATTATGCACCCTTATAGAGGGTTGAAAGGCGAATCGAATGCCGACTTCCGTTCCTCGATATCTCTTATAGTTTGGAAGTTATGGCCGTTTTTCGAAAAAATCTAACTCATTCGAACTCGTTGGTCAAGTCCTCTGATTTTTACCAAGTGGAATTTATTTTGGCTACCTTTTGTTAAAAACTGACGCTTGGATTTTCGATCAGAAGCATATAAGAGCGAGGTGGTAAATTATGTTTTATTTGAATACCACATATATCAGTGATATATTTTATATTTTTACTAGGTATAATAAAATTAGCTATAGCTGGGAAATACTATCTCTTCAATCTTATGCGTTCCTGATAAAAATCGGTGATTTTGGACAAAAATTAAAAATATTATAAATAAATAATAAAAATGCAATTTTTATTAAAAAATTAGGGATTTGTATCAGAAATACATAAGAGCGAGGGGGTTAATATTTAATTATTTTTTATTTTTTTTTATATAAAATACTGCTTATTCCAGAATAAGTTTTTACTTCACCCTGTAGAATAAAAGGTATTTTTTCCGCATATCTTCACAAATGAGACATAAAGAGATAGGGACCGGGCAGGATTAAGGTTCTTCTTGGCGATGGCAGTACCTGATAGGCGCCAAAGATGACACGCCGATAAGGCGTCCATCCGACGCTCTTCGTACTAATTCCCTTCGAAGATAACATCTCCACCGGCAGCGCAAGATGGTACCGCGATGGTTGTACCGGTGGAGAACGACCTTAACCTAAACAAAGAGGCAGTTATCCTTTTTTTTCGGTCTAATTTTTGAATATATTTTTGAATATCGCATTTTGTAATTCTTCTAGAAGCTATAAAATCAAATGAATAGTATTTTTAGAGACGGCACATTTGAACTACCCAAACAATGTTCGGTACATTTGAACTACCCAACGCTATTTGGTACATTAGAATTACTGGATATATTAGAACTGTTCAAAAACAAAGTTCGTTCCATTAGAACTACTCACCACTGTTTTATACGTTAGAACTATGTACGTAGAAGAATATACGTTCAAGAAACAATTTCAAGGTGGATAATAAAATACAACACATTTCAAAAAACAGTATTCTTTATTCCGTGTAAATTCTTAAATTACAAATGCCAAAAAATCTAACTATCCTATAATAATATAATAAATATACTAGATATATAACTACAGCTAATATTATATCCGTGTTTCGTGTATAAAAAATAATTTATATTTTCTCGAGTCCGATCACATTATTCACCGACAGCGACATCTGGCAACCGTGTCGTACAGGTTATGTCATACGTCCAGTTTCAAAAACAAAGTGTCTCAATTAGTCGGTTTAATTTTTTGGTTTATTACAATATTAGTAGTTTTTCTCTATCATAATATAATAATAGTGAACATTCTACTATAAACAAAGTGTCCGTATTATTGTTACAAAATCTCACAAAATCAGAATTGCACTATGTAGTTTTGGACTTCTTAGCTGTTTGGACCTCCAACAATTGGATCAATCGAAGTTTCTTACCGTTTTCTGATTTCCTAAATTCTTCGAGAAGCTGTAAAATTAAAAAAAATCGTATTTAGTAAGAGTACATTTGAACCACCCAAACAATATTTGCTATATTTAAAGTACTGAATAACTGTTTGCTATAATTGAAGTACTAAACATCCCGAGAAATTTAGTAATGTATATAAAACCGAAAAAAGCGCGTTCTTAACAGCGGTATATTTGAACTACTCATAATAGGAACATTTAAACTACTCAACACTATTTGATGTGTCAGAACTACTAGATACATTCAAACTGGTAAAAATATTTGAACTACAGTTCAGTACAATTAATGAATACTTCGAGAAGCTTAAAAAACAAAAATCGCGTTTATAGTGAGGGTACAATTGAACTACTAAACAGTATTAGATATTTATAAGTACCAGATACATTAGTTAATTGTTAAAAAACGCTCGGTATGTTTGAACTACCAAAACACCAGTTTAATACATTAACAAATAAATTCTTCGAGAAGCTGTAAAATAAAAAACGCGCGTTTTTAATGGTCGGTACACTTGAACTACTGAAAAATCACGTTCGGTACGTTTGAACTACTTACGTCGTACGACAGTTCCTGCTTCAGGATGGCGGTGGTGTGTTCGTTGTCGGCGCAGCAGGCCAGCAGGGTGGGGTAGAGCACGCTGGACAGTTGGTCTACGGAGAAGTAGGGGAAGGGCAGCGAACACAGCTGCTGGAGGACGGAGGGAGATTGGCCGCTAACTAGCAGCATCTGGAATTGAGAAATTAAAGAACTTAGTGTCATAGAAGCCTTTTAAGTATCAAAATAAAATCTTCTTTGGGAAAAAGTTTTATTTTACGCTCTGGTATATCTACCTAGCGGACCCGTTTCGGGGCGGTATCTCTGGCCCGTCTTCGGGTCGCGACGTGAGTTATGCCGCGCGGCGATAAGCAGGGGCGCCGGCTCTCGGCGGCTTATCGCAGCGCTAGTCGTTGGGGCCCCGGTTTCGGCGGCATTCCCGAATCGTTATCGACCCAGGCTAAAACGGCCGTTTTATTGAAAAAAAAAGATGCCTGTGGTATCGTGGAATTTTTGTTTTTTTTTCAGACAGAAAAGAAACGTGTTTATAAAGCAGAGACATTAAGAGAAACTGATTGTTCGTGACCGCATAAAATTGTCCGAAAGGCTTGACCATTATTACGAAACAAATCTGTTATAATATATCATTAAAAAAATAATTCAAAACAAAATCACTTCAAGAAAACATTGTTTTATTTATAAAATTGTTTCGTTTGTAAATCGATCTTTTATGAACTAGAAATATTTTCAGAACATAAAAAAAACATGTTAAGTATACCCTTTCGCCTTTGTGATTAGAACTAAGATTTGTCCTGCATACGATACAAATGACATCAGAAGTGGGTTATCCCTTTTTAAATTTTTAGTTACTGTACACTTTTTATAAACAAAATCATTGTAAAATTATTAAGATCCTTTACCTGATTTTCAACATTGCCCACTGCAAAGAACCCTGTTACGGACACAACTTCATGGAGAAGCTCCTGAAGGGCAGCTAACATGGCAGTGTCTTCTTTGCCGTTGATTTTAGGCACGGTTGGACTAGCACAGCACCATATCAGATGACCGCTAATGTGACGAAACTGTAGTGAGATACCTTCAGCACCCAACACTTCCTGAAAAAGAAAAAAGTTCAATTTATATTAAGACAAAAAAATTACCCAAAAAATTGCAATGTACAATGATTAAAACAACGTTAGGTACATTTGCACTACTGAACATCGGTTTGGTATAATTAAACTACTAAATTTTTAGACAAGCTGAGGGTTGGGTAACGACGCGTGGAAAATTAATTTTCTACGTGCATGTAGAAAAGTGCGTAGAAAATGTAGAAATTCTGAGATATACAAAATTAATTTTGTATATTTAAAACCGTTTTTTTACTTTAGAGATTTCTTCCTTTCTATTTTCTTTAAATTCTATAGCGTTAAAACTGTAATATGTGTTAAGATTAAGACTGCTGAAGATAAGAGACAGTAATCGATCTGAAGATTATTAGAATATTTTTTTTCTGTTTAATCTGAAGACCGTACAGAAAAGTCTGATTTTTTTTCTTTGAAAGTTTTCTTTGTTGCCATTTTTAATTTTATTATAGAAAACCTGTGGTTTCGTAAACTAAATACGTATAATAACAATTATTGTAGTTTGTAGTTCTTACTTTCATTATGTAAGATGATATTTTTTTTGTTGTTCTATTTGAGTCTTACCAAAGTTCACAGAATTACATAGAATTATTCTGTAAACTTTGATCTTACGATATCTGTAAATTTCGACTATGGTGCGTAACAAATCAAGGAAAATTTCGACAGACGATATCCAGACGATGACAGAAAATACGATACGCCTGTGCATTATAATGACACAACAGTCACTGTCACGCATCCTCCCGTTCTACACATCAATTTAAAATAATATGAAAGTTAATAGTTAAGCTTTTTGACATGCTATAAGTATAGTATCCATTTGTTAAATAATAAATAACAATCAGAGTTGTTAGCTTAGTACTTATACTAATCGTTGTGATTGAAGTATTTGAAATAAATATAAACTCAAAAAGAGGATTACAATATATAAAACTAATTTTCTACATCTGGACATGTAAAAAATGTAAAAAAATAATTTTCTACATGTTGAAAATACGGTAGAAAATATAAAATTTTCTACCTACCCAACCCTGGACAAACTGTAAAATAAAAATCTGCGTTTTTAATGACGGCACATTTGAACTACTCAAAAACCCGGTTCGGTTCATTTGAACTACTCAACACATTGGATGCGCCAGAACTACTATATACATTAGAACTGCTAAAAGCAACGTTCGGTACATTTGAACTACTGAGCAACTGTTTAGTAGTTTTCGAATTATGACGAAAAATGGAAATCGTTCGTTTTTTTCTCGTTATTTAAGAGTCTCATTGATTTCACCGCTACGCACACGCCTCTTACAAACAATCCCCTATTTCCTAGAGTCCCACGGGACTCCTCATCGGATGCGGCCAGCCTTTAAGTAACGACCCGGCTCGCGGTGCGGGGCCTACTCTCCCCAGGATGCCCCTGGGAACCCTTCGAAGCAAGCGTGGCGTCGCTAATCGCGGCACCGTATCTACTTACTCTTAGGGCTGCGCGCGTGGTAATTGAATAGATGGATGCAGAAAGAGGGGGGTCGCCCGTTGGGGAATAAGAGGTCCCGTAGTGCCGAACGGATTGAGAGATCTGATGTCTGTTTGTGTGTTTGAACGCGAAATTGGCTTATTATTGTTGTATCTGTCCGATGCGGGTGCGTTCGTGTTTGTTTCGGTTAAATAGCATTAATTTCGGCGGTTTTGGAGTGGTTTGCAGGACATACAGTATGTCCTCGGATTGTCTTTACAAGAGGACTTTTTTATTATTGACATTTTCAAAAAAATGCATTCTCCATAAAAAATTTTGCTTGTTCTAAAATGGTTAATCCCGTTTACACTTTTCCAAATTTCTATACCGTTTTAGAGAAAATAAAGAGAAACATAAAAATATTGTTGAATTTCTTAAAAATCAAAACGTGTTTCTTTGTTAATTTAACTTCCTTTTCATTCTTTGATAGATTGTTATTCATAGAATTTTAATTAACGTCAAATTTTTTGTTGTTTCAAAATGTTAAAGAAGCACAAAATTTATTTAGTTCAATACTACGGAAAGGGTGATGATAGTTATCGCAAAATCTCATAGTTTAATAACAGCAAAGAATATGACGTTAATAAAAATTATTAATAACCATCTATCAAAGAATGAAATGAATTGATTTCATTTAAAATATGAAAAAAAAAATCAACAATATTTTCATATTTTTTTTGGTTTTCTCGAAAACGGTATGGAAATTTGGAAAAGTATAAACGGGATTAACCATTTTAGAACAAGCAAATTTTTCTTACGGAGAATGCATCTTTCTCAAAATGTCAATAATAAAAAAGTTTTTTTCCTCTTGTAAAGACAATCCGGGGACATACTATAGACAGAGAATCAACGAAAACGTTTCTGCACAATATGATAAAATTGCACTATTAAAAGAAAAAAATAATAGTTTAAAAAATTATTTTTTTTTAATAAAAAAGGAAAGAAGAAAAACAGGAAAAAGGATAGGAAAAGGCAGAACTACAGGAAAAGAAAAATGAAAGAAAAAAAAAGAACAGGAAAAATGACTGAGAAATGAACAGAGAAAAAGAAAAGAATAGAAAATGCAAAGGAAAAAACAGAAAAAAACTCGAAAATGAACAGGAATGATGAAAGAGAAGACAACGGGAAAAGGCTAAGGGCAAAGGATAGTAAAAAGGCAATAAAAAAAGTATAGGAAAAAAGCACAAGGCAAAGGAAAAGAAAAAAGAAAAAGTACCGGAATAAGAAAATGAAAGGAAAAACGGTCAGGAAAAAAGGAAAGGAAGAAAGACAGAAAAAAAAGAAAGGAAAGACAACAGGAAAAAGGCGAAAAAAAGTAAAAAATCATGAGAAAAAAAGCCAGGAAAAAGGAAAGAAGAAAAACAAGAAAAAGACCAGGAAATGGAAAAAAAGCGAGAGAATATTTTTATATTAAAAAGGAAAATAGAAGGGATATGAAAGGAGAAAATTATAGAAAAAAATAAAAGAAAAAGGACAGGAATAGAAACGGAAAAGGGCAGGAAAAAGAAAAAAAATCGGAAAAATGGAGGGCAAAATATCAGGAAAAATAAAAATAAAACAGACAACAAAAAGGTAATGAGAAAGAAAAAAAAGAAAGGAAATGGAAAGAAAAATTAGCAGAGACAGGACCAAGGAAAGGAAAATATAGAAAAATAGGGAAGAAAAATAGAAAAAAAAATATAAATGAGGAAAGAAAAAAAAAAGAAAAAGGATAAGAATAAAGGAAAAAAAAAGAAAAAAAAGAGAAAAGGCAGAAAAAATAATAAATATGAAGAAAAATAACGAAAAAAAAAAAAAGACGGAAAAAATAAGAACGGGATAAAAATGATGGAAAACGATAGAAAGAATACCAAAACACGCAAAATACGTATTTTCTTAACCGACACTCACCTGGAACTTGCCCAAATCCACCTCGGCCACCCTCCTCAACAACCGGAACGTCTCCAACGCCAAACTGACGCCCGCACCCGGCAAGGGCGGCGGCGCCAGTCCTTCCCCCCTCGCCGCCGTGGCCTCGGGCGGCAACAGCGACCCGTACAGCATCGACACGCAACCCAGGAGCTCGGTACCGTGGAGGGTGGCCACGAGGTGCGTGGGGTCACCTCCCGCGGTGCCCTCCTCCGGACAGCGGGCGGCAAGGGCGGCGGGGAACCGGAGGGCGGCCAGGAGGAAGGCGCAGGCGGGCGGCTGGTCGTGGACGGGCTGGCGGATGGAAAGGCAGCAGCGAGCCAGGTGGTCGACGAGGCCCGAGCACACGGAGAAGCTGGAAGAGAGAAGAAAGAATGAGTGGTTACCATAAGATTTCATATTAAATACAGTATGGTCATAGTATAAGGAAACTAGTAGCTTTACTCCTTGTCAAATCCTTTGTTCTTTTTCTGCCACTTTATATGACCTTGTTCTCGCCTCCCGTGACCACTGACGTAGCTGTATAGTCGTGGTCTATTAACGGCAAAGTATAGTCGTGGCACTCGCCATAGTTTCACAGATATGTATTTAGGAAAATATGAGTTCACAATAAAATAAAATAAAAAAAATTGATCATCGAATAAAATCTTGCTTGAAAATAGAATATTTTCACATTTCGTGTAGGTAACAATTCTACTGTATCTGAAAATCTTCTGATGGGAAGAAATGCAGAAAAAATATATAATGACATATTTTTATATTATTATCCATTTCAGAGATTTTCTACAACTTTTTTTTTTTATTTAAAACAAGTTTAATTTTATTTAATTTTTTGTAGAAAAAATATACAGAATGTTGCATTTAAAAAAATTGAGATACACCATTTTAAATATTCCGATTTTGGTGACGCCATAAAAAATACCCTATATAGAATAATGTATATAGAATGATGTATAATAAAAAAATAAAACTAACTTTACCATAACTTTTTTTGTGACACCCTGTATATAACAAAATATTTTCGGATACGTTCTTTTATAAACCTTGAAACATATGAATAAAACTTTTTTCACATCTTCGACAACGACGACGATATTGGACTTCCTCGCACTAATGGGGCCCTGTATATATACGGTGGTTTAAAGCTAGGTGTGGGACTTTTCTTCCCTCAAATATAAACTCAATATTTTGTCTATAATATTTTGAATATTGTTATATTACGACCCCTTATAATAAAAAATAAATAAAAAAAACATAAAAAATACAGTCCACTAAATTTATAAGAGATTATGCTATTATAAAATTCTTTCAATTAAAAAATATGAATAATTTGCGGAGACTTTAGAGGTACAAAATATTTACTCTAAAATTGTTTCAAAAACCAATCTATATAAATTATCTCGTAAATTATTATTGGAATGCAAATTTTATGGCAAATCCCCTGACCAAAAAATATTTTCATGTGCATATTTGAGACAACCTGTATATCTAAAAAAAATATTTTTAAAATCTGCCCACATGCTAAAAAAATAATAACCTTTAATTAATATTATAATAATTAATATCTCAGCTTCTAAAATAAACAAATATAATTAAATATTTATTGATAATTACTCAGCTGATCAGCTTGCCGATTTACGTCCGATGGAAATCTAAAAAAAATAGAACATATAGAATTCATAGAACAATTCTTTGAATTATTACTACAATTAATAGCAGCACACAGTAAGGCACTCAATCCGTCTCTGTGCTGCCGCTACTCGTAGCGACTTTTGCTAAGAGATATTTTTTACGTAAAAAGTCACGGAAGTGTATATTTTTTCACTCACTACTTATATACAGGTACAACGAAAAGTTATTACTGTTTAAAACAGTTAAGACACATGTAGGTGGCGCGTGGCGCCACCTACAAATGAGAGTCATATTGACATCAAAATCAAATTTCTCATGTCAAAAAACTCCCAGACTACAATTTTTATCCAAATATTGACGTTACTTCAGAAATTATTTAGAAAAAAATAGAAATAAAAATGAAACTTCTACACCCTGTATCTTCGAAACGAAGCATTTTAGGACATACATTTATACGAACTTTTTTACCTATTTTTATATGCAGAATATGCTGCCGAAGTTTCCGGAATACAGTTCGGACCACCCTGTATAAAACATTTCTTTCTAGACGTGTACAGAACTTTCATTAATTTCATTATTAACTGACACACTTTTTTATTTTTAGGGACAGATTGGAAGTTGTGATCATATCACGCTTTTAAATCACTGATATTAAGTATCAGTTTTAACAGCGTGACTTAAAATTCACGATATCGCTCATACCTACGCAAGACACTCATCGTAGGCAGACCTAGTTTTATTTTTCTCCGTTTTTACAGAGAGAAAAAAATACTAAAATAACCCCCCAAATACACCTCGCACGGCATCCCTTCCCCACCCTCCGAAAATCTGGCAACCGCGCTAATGGACGGGCTTTATTATCGTTCCGTGAACTTCCGAGAGAGTGCCGGCACCGTAACCACTCTCCTACGCCCTTCACAGGCTCCCTTTCATCCTCCCTTGTCCCTTTGCCAGCCCTCACTTTGGCAAACACTCACATTTTGAGACATCGTGTAGTGAAATGGAACTAAGGTCGATTTTTTGTTTGATTCTGTTCGATTGATCTTAGCGAACCGCGAATTTCAAAACAGTCACTAAAACCATCTTGTCATTAAAAAATTACATCAAAATGTAATGATAATAATTGAAAGAATTGCAAATTAATCCTGATTTTGGCTCTTAAAAATTAACCAAGGC